AAAGTAAGCTTCAGACAAAATTTTGCCAAATAAAAAGTTGTCTTAGAATTTAGTCAAGAATATGTATTTTCAAGGATAACGGGTTGTTCTGAATCACCCTGTATCTGCCTACGAGAGATTGTACGGCAATTCTGGGACACCCTGTATAAGAAACTCATACATTGATCAAAAGCCAATCGACCAACGTAATTAAACACAAGACCCGCGACTTGCGATTCGCGTTTTGCGTTTTTATATAGAACGATCTTTAGATCGCTTCTTGCAAATCCATTCAGATTCTCCGACAGATTCTGCTTTCATTTTTGCAAATTCTTCTCGAACGGTGTTAGAGAAACTCGGAAATATTAATTTAACTGTTTAATTTAATTCAATCGCATTTTTCGACGATAATTTGCGTCAACTCTTCGTTCGAACAATCGCAATCTCAACTAACATCTGTCTCGGAACGTCGGAATTTTGATTGGCCGTGGGTGACGATACGTTGAAAACGAGGCTTGAGGACGGGAACGCAGCCACCGGATACCACGTTTGTCAACGGAAGCGAGACGTTTGCAATTTGAAAAGTTTTCTTCTCGTTTTTTGTCTAAAATAACAATACAAACGCGATCTCTCAATTGCGCACGGTGCGCGCGTTGTTGTTGATAATTTGTAACGCCGCAAATCTCGAAAATATCGTCGAGACGCGAAACAATCTCTCGCTTGACTAGCTTCGCTGGAACCTAGGACGAGGACGGGCGCGGGGAGAGGCGATTGGCACACGTCGCGTCGCGGATAAGTGACGCTACGCTCTCGTCAGTCAGTCGCACGCTGACTGTTGCAGAAGTGGGTTCGTTCAACCTTGATTTCGCGATGTCGGAGGTATTCAAACTGGGTGATCTAGTATGGTGTGTATATTATGATTGAGTGTGTATACATACAAAAAATGTTGTCGCGTCTTATCAAAGTTTGGTGAATTTGTGTGTAAAATTTAATTTCCAACTGGTCTTGTTTCTGGATTTCAGGGCGAAAATGAAGGGATTCTCGCCGTGGCCCGGCCGGGTGAGTAGCGTGCGCCTTTTCTTCTTCTTCTTCCAATCTTTCCCCTTTTTTCGTTCGCGATGAAACGTCGCAAGGCGGGCTCGCGCTCTTCTTTTCACGCGTGCGCGCGCGCGCGCGGAGCAAAGTTAGTTACCCGCGCGTCGTGCGATCCAATTGCGGATTTTAACATCGTCCGCGGCTTGTTCGTTTCCGCGTCGCCGACGTTGTTTGTCGCCGATCAACGTTCCGCGACGCAGCAGCTGTCGACGCCAATGGGCTTTTGCAACCCGCATCGCATCGCGCGCGTTGCCGTCTCCCGCCACACCCGGCCTTCGAATTCAAATTGGCGCGCAAACCAAGAAAATATAACCTAAATTTCTCTCTTGGAAATTCTTTCTCTTTCTCTCTATCTCTATCTCTCTCTCCTCTCTCTCTCTGCGCAATTTATTTTTCATCCGCTCTGAAGCTATTGAAAGCTTCTTGTTGTCGCGATAAATTTGACGAAAACACCGGGGAGACCGATGTCCACACTATCGGCGAAGACTTGAGAATTGATCCCGCGTAATCTGTCTTGTATTTTTTAATTGGTGGAAATGCGCGTGACGTCAAGCCGTCATATTGCGCGAACGGTTCCACTTTATATACGCGGATATGTAATATTTACACAGCTACATTTTTCACATTCGAAACACAATAAATTTAGTATACCTTCTTTTTCGAGGAAGAGAGAGAGAAAAAGAAATAAAACATAAGTTTTTTTTTGTTTTTTAATCTCAAATGTCTGAAATATTGACTCCCGTTTATATATCGGAATGTACACGCCGGGGATCGTAGACAGATTATAGCGAGATATGCTTCGAAATGTGCTCTGTATCTTTTATAAATTTTATATGTTTTTTATACACTTTATGTTTAGCAATGAAAAAGTATACAAAACAAATTTTGTTTTTTTTTTTTGAAGAAAGAGGCATGTTGCAATTGTACAGATAATTTGTGTCCTGTGTTGTAATGAAATTTTGAACAATTTATCTATTTTCTTAATATATTTAAGGATATTGTTATTGGTAATATTGCTTGTTAACTCTAAGTTGCAAAATAATTATTTTAAAAATACAATTTTTTTATTTACCATATCACAAATTAAATTTTATAATAACTATAATAATAATTAACTATTATAATAATTTTATAATGGTATTCAAAGGTGTCAGTTCCTTCAAAGGATTTAAAGAAGCCTGCCAATACAAAAAAGGGACCAGTACAGTGTATTTTCTTCTTCGGCACAAACAATTAGTAAGTTTCTATTTACAGATTATTTATTCTTATTTGTAGACTAATAATAGTTATTTCTCAATAAATTTCTCAATATGTTTTTTTATAGTGCATGGATAGAAGAGTCTCACATTAAACCATACCAAGAATACAAAGATACTCTAGTGAAGTCCAGCAAATCTGGTGCATTTAAAGATGCCGTTGAAGCTATAGAAGATTTTATTGCCAAAGGAGAGGTAAGTTATATTTATGTATTTGTAAAATTAATATATTATATATTTGTAATATCTTTTTTACATGTGTTTTCTCAATAATCAATTATTAATTAATTAAAGTGTGACTCTAACAAGTACATTATACATAAAATATAAACATTTTTTGTTAATAAAAATTTTTTTATTATAACATTTTATCATAGTATACAATTTCTATATATTAATTTTTTTATATTAAAATTAAAAATAAAATATATAAATGTATATCTCTTTATGTATCTTTTTTATTTGTCTATTAATATTAAAAATGATTGAAGTTTTTACATATATTTATTAGGTGTTTGATGACGGGTTGGATCCGGATTCTTTGTTTGACAAACTTAAAGAAGAAACTATAGCTGCTGAAAAAAAGCCTGTTGTGAAAGCATCTAAACCACGCAAGGTTAAGAATCAATATTGTATGTATGTGTGTGTGTGTGTGTGTAATTTATATTTTGTGTATATATATAAATTATGTACGTGTACATATTTTATATATTACATATATGCGTGCGTGTGTGTATTTTTGTATTTCTACAAAGACTAAAAGTAAAAATTTGTAATTAAAATTTTTAATGTTTGTAGAAATAATAATTTAAATTGTATCTCTAATTTCACATTGAAAAAAATTATTACAGGAAACACCAAAACCACCTAAACGGATAAACGACAACAACACAAGTGAACGACGACCTGCTAAAAAGCAGCGTAGAGAATCAAATGCTAGTAATAGCAACAGACTCGGCAGTATCAGTCCTACAGTAAATCATTCTTCTCCAACTAGAAAAACAGGCTCGCTTTTGAATAGACCAGCAAATATAGCCAGACCTGTAAGTATCAATGATTTATTTTTTTTTTCAATATGCACAAGACTATTGCTATTATATGTTATGAGAGGTACAAAATATACATCGCACATGGAGATCGTTGTACATATGTAGCTTGGTTAGGTCTTTACCGTCCGATGTCACAGACTGATGATCGCAGGCATACGCGCGGAAAACATCCTGTACACTCTAATGTTCTATGCCAGTGCCGTAGTTAGCCGTCAGACGATTCTTTTACCACCTGTTGGTTTCGTGGTCCTATTTTCAAACAGAACATTTTCTTTTGAACATTTGAACATTAAAAAAACAGTAAATTTAAATAAACGGCAAAATATTCAAAATTTTCAGTACTACTATATTTGACATTTCTCGTTTTTGACCATTTCCAGATCAATGAGCTTTTCGTAACATTCCTATAACTCGTTAATTTTTTGCCTCAGGTTACGCCGCCGCTTGATGTTGAAACTATGTCGCAAACTCTGAAAGACAAAAATATTCTTCCATCTAATCTCAAATTTGGTTTTCTTGGACTCGGCATCATGGGTAGTGGCATTGTGAAAAATTTGATCAATAGTGGTCACAGCGTAATCGTGTGGAATCGGACACAGGAAAAGGTATGTACCAATACAATTTTTTTTTTATCGCAAATGGAAATTTACGTATGAAAACGTTTTGCGTCATATCGGGGTGTGCTATCATCTTGTGAGGAAAAAGAAGATAGGATTTATTTTATATATTCTATTATTAAATTATTTGTTGTTGAAAATGATAAAGAAAAAGCTTTTAAACCAATTAATTCTTATATTTATTATATCGTATTTTAATTAATTAATTAAAACTCAATACAATAAACTTAACACAATAAACAAATTAGATTGCTCGTAATATATATGCGCGTTTATTTTTTATTAGTTACATAGAAAATTTATATAATTTATTTTATTCTGATTTATATTCACGTGGTGTTTCTTTACTACATATTTTTATTTATCTCGTCATTGTTAACATTGTTATGCTAATCTCGATATTTTAAAGCAATTTATGATAGATTATATTTGAGAGAAATAGATATATATACTATAGATTATATTTGAATTAGAGTATACTATAGATTATATTTGAATTAGAGTATACTATAGGAAAGAAGAAAGGGTTATAATATGAAAAGTAATTGAGTACTGCAATAAACAATGAGATTTATTAACTTAATAACTATAATGGGAATTGAGCAGTTTTGCTGATGTCATTATCTCAGTTGAGAGAAATAAAAATTATTTTCGCAAAAGCGAACTAGAGTTGCTCTTGTTACACAAATAGATTTAGGTCCTTTATATAATAAAAATCACAACTTTTTAAAACAACTTAGTTGCGTTTGACAGTTTGTTGCAACATTTTCCGAAAAAACATTGCTCAAATAGTAGAATAAATTATAGATTTGATATATAGATAGGTGCTGCTGTTTTTTTAAAGAAAAATTAGGTATCTTTTATATTGACAAATTAGGTATCTCTTTTTTTTTTTTATATATCTCTTAACAACTTGGAATAAAAAATACGAAACTGTCGATGGAAAACTTGACAATTTCGAAAAGTGACTGTTAGCAAACCATTTAAAACTATTTTAAACAATATTCGTCTTCTTTCACACGAAGAGAACATATATGATAAACTGCTCGAATATGTTTTAAAAGTTAGTCTCTACAATTTTGAAAATAAGAAAGCGCGTTAGAGTGTGAAAAAAGATTTAGCATTTCAGACTTTTGTTCTTTGGTACATAGTTTTCGAGTCTGTGACGTAAGCAATCTCCCTACTTGTGTATACTGGTAAATATTTACTGCTCGTTGCTAGTCTTAACAAATTCAATAATTACAAAATAATTGTGGAATACAAATTTACTCACTGCACATTTTTGTCTTAAATAAGCATACTTCTTGTATGCGCAATTGAAATAATTCGAAGAAAATAGTAAGCAAAATTGATATATAAACAAACATCTCGGAGGAATTATTATTTTCATAGTCACATTTTTATATAGGAAGATTTTATTATAATCCTCAATTTACAACTAATTTTTACTAAAATGACATCCAATAATATATTGGATTTTACTCTCGCGAATTCCATTCTTGATCGTTCTGTTACAATGTGTTCTTTCAAAGTTTACAAATCACAGTTGAACTCTCTTGATAGCAGACTTGGGACCATTGTTGACTCTGTAATACAGAAGAATTCGATTTTCCGCAAACAATTTTTATTGTTTAATATGGCTAATTTAAAGAAGCGGTTCACGAGTCAAAAATGATCCTAATTCCGTTTGTTGGAAGATTAAGAAAAATGCTAGATAAAATATTGAGATTATACAGGGTGTTTTAGACTAACGGTTAATACTGTTAGAACATTCCCTGTGTGTTAAGAAAATAAAGTTTCTTTCTCTCACTGTTACATTCTACTGGACTAACGTTTCTATGTACATTACATACATAAACAATATGGTTTATTTTTGTTTACAATACAATAATATTCTAAAAAAAAAAAACTGGCATTCACGAAGTTCTTATGCATCAACAGATAGAATAGAAATTTTATACTTTATTTTTGTACGCACTCTATACATACGTATGTGAATATCACACGTAATATATATATACACATATATATATTGACAATGATGTAATTATTTTTTAGTTTATCAACGAATTTTTATTAATAAAATTGCATTTTATCTGCAAAACTAAAAAATACAAAAATTAAAGTATCTCGTAAATATTTAATTAACCAACAACTTCTATTATTTTTACTACTTATTAAAATTTTACATTCTTAATTTCTAAGACTTCTAAATTGTCGTTTATTAGACTTAATAATAATGATAATAACAACGACAACAATAATAATAGTGTGATATTAATTACGTCACATTATGCGCTTTCTAAAAAAAAAAAAATTTTTCAGAAAGCAACTTTGTGCATGTTAGATTATTTCGATTATTTTACGAGTACCATTTTTACCACATTAATTTATACGCGCTGCACGAGCATTGCCTCCTGATTAAGGCTTAGCAGTTTAAAACGATGTCATATAAAAAATATACACATTGGAAGCATATATAAGTACGAGTTTTCTATCTATGAGAAGAGGAACAGAGAAAGATTTTCGCGCTTAAGATTCGATGTGCTGTGCCGTAGTTTAGCTTTCAATTAACTTGAAATTGATTTCCATGCATAGTAGATCTCAAGTTTCTCATTTTTTTGCTTACTCTTCAAAAAGGCGTTCAGTTTTGTTCTTCAGTTTTGCAATAAGCGATACTCATTTAACTGCAAGCTAGAAATACGCAGGTGAATGCACCAGTCGTATATTACTTTCTTCTATTTTGACCGTCCTATTTTCTCTTTAGTACTAATATTCGAGTAATAATCTATAAAAAATGACGTAACACAAAAAAAACTTGCAAAGCGAGAAATAAATTTCCCCAAAAAAAACTTGAATAAAGGCTGTCAAATTTTAAACGTTTACGACTAAATACATTTGCACCATTATCTGAAATATATTCATTAAACATTGTCATGTTCCGTTAAAATGTAATTTAATAAAAACTTTTTATTTTGCGCTAAGGTACTTTTGTACAAAATGATGCTTCAGGATATAGCCAAATCATATTCTTATCGTGCAAAGTATTTTTACGTTCGGGTAGTCAAAAGTAGTTTACGTAATATTTTATATTTATTTTATTGTGATAGAATTTATAAAAAAAAACATACGGTAATAATTATGTGTTCGTATTATAATTGCAATGTTTATTTGCGTGTTCAAGATGTACTTAATTTTGACTTATGTTTTTAATTAGTTAAATCAAAATATAAAATATCAGATATATTTTTTTCACAAATTTGTATTTATAAAAATGCCCATAAAAAAAGAGAAATGAGTTGTTTTCCATTTATAATTTACATTCCAGCAGAAGCAAATATTTTAATCGATCATAAATAAATGTTCTTTAGTAAATTGAAAATTTCTTGTTGATTTTCACACACACACACACACACAAAGAATTTAATGAAGTAAAGTAAATATCTTTCGAAAAATTAATGTTTTGTTTTATATAACGAGTAGCGTTACTTGTATTATCTCTGTATTAAAAAACAAACTTTATTCCTCGGTTAAGCCTTTATTCAACTTTTCATTGAGATAATATTGGCTTCGGCTTTAGGTTCGAGCTTGTTGACTTAATAATTTGTTTTTTTTTTTCGGAGTTAGATTATCTAAGTTTTTTTCACTATAAAGTGTATATATATATATACACTTATATATATATATATACACACATATATATATATATATATATATATATATATATACATATATATATATATATAGTGAAAAAAAGGGGGCGAGTGATATATATATATATCACTCTCCCCCGTAACAATACTTGCGATGTCGAGACCAACTACTGCGGTTTCCGCCATGGATTCGTCTTTCTCTCCGTTTACCAGAGGAGGTATGATAAAATTTTATCTCTCTTGCAACGCGCTACTGACGCAATCCAAAAATAACGGCAATGGTCTCTTGGTCTCGCGGACGTTTTTCTTTTCGCATATTATAGTATCGTAGTGATTTAGTTGCTTCCACGATCGACAGTATATCACTTACGTGAATGATCAGTTGTAAACATACTATTTTTTTGTTATTATATCTCTTCCGTCAATAATACGCGTTCTTCGAAATTCAATTGCTTTGACGATTGACGCATTCTCATAATAAGAGCGATGTTTTGAACAAAGATTTGCTAAATCACCGATTTCTTTTCGTTCATTGATTTGATCAACTTTGCGTTGTGTCGGATTTTATTCAAAAAAATAAAAATACGAACAAAGTAATAAAGTTCCGAAGATTATCAAACAATTTGAGAAAATAAATTTAACAAAACTTTTTTTTTTTTTCAAAACAAGTGTTTAAAGTATCTTAAAAGAGAACTTGTTTACTGTAAAAAAGAATCTTTAACTTTTGTTCCATATCACCTTGCAGACAATATTTGTTATCGTTGTTTTTTTGCTTTTAATTGAGCGGTTTTTGTAATTTGATCGCTGTTGAGTCAGCAAACAGAATCAATTGCCATTGGATATTAAATCATATTGGACAAAGGTATGTCTACTTTTATTTTTGATTCGAAGTTCTATAAATCTTCAATTATCTTATATTTTTAAATAACGTTTATTAAAAATATTTTGTCTTGCTGAGTAGAGCTCGCGTGATTATGGATTTATAAGTCAATTTATAATAACAATAACTATCCGAAAAGCGGATAGACTTTGCTTTGTTGGTAATTGTTGTAGTTAGCGTTTCTTTTTTTCTGTTTAGAATAATATAATATGCTATAAAAATATCACGAACTACACGTTCAGTTCTCCATTCAGTTTTCCGAGATAGAATTTGTTGTTTGGATGGGAATTAATTACGTAGATAATGGTTGCAGATGATTACGTCAGGATTTATTCAACAAAGAAATGCATTTTTGCAAAACCTGTATAAGATCAATTATTTATCGCACATAAAAATTTACATACAATCTTTCTCTCTCTTCTAAACGCCACTTTTTTTTATTTCAAATACCCCAACAGCCAATATATTGCGATATTTTTCGCGTATTTTTATTTTTCTTTTTTTTTCACTCAAGTGACTGGTGGATATGTTGCTGCGGTGATTAAAAAAAAAAAAATTAAGTACGTACGTTTGTTACTTTCTGTGGTATACGGTTTTTTTCTTTCTTTTCTCTTTTCGATAAGTATGTACTTCTATCTCGAGCAATTTTTTCTGTAATGTACTACGCTAAACAAGCTTTAAAATAAACAAACAAAAAAAAAAAAAATATATATATATATATATATAAGAGAATGCGTGCGAAAGAAACGTGTTGTTCTTCGCTGCTTTTCAACTACTCACGAGGAAATCAAGGTGAAGAAGATGAAAGAGCAATTAAAACGATGGCGGACGAGCCGATTTTGCCGCCTCAGTCTTTCGCAATAGAGGGTGTGATCCTTCGACTTTCTCGCGGGCACTGATACAAAACTTTTATGCACGTTCTATTTACAGAAGAATTTAAGGACAACTTTCTCGCGGAAATCGCAACTCTTCTCAAGATTTTTATGGAATTGACAACTAGGCGAAGTTTTTTTTTATTTTTCCTTCCTTTTTTTTTTGTTTTTTTTTGTTTTTTTTTCATCGCCCTTTTACGAGGAAAGAGAATTTTTACAGCCAGAAGTGGGGGACAGCTGCACAGTTCGCGTCTCTTCTGTTAATCTCCGTCGGTCATTTCAACAAACGGATGATTATTATCAACGAAAAAAAGCACACGTTGCAATGAGATGGACCATGAGAGTTGCATTGTCGACCTCGTCATAAAGTTCTTGGAGGCTGTCCGTACTTGTTTTTTTTTTTTTTTTTTTTGTTTGTTCTCCGAAGTTAGCACACGCACACACTTTCTGCAATCGATGGTCATCGATCCCGACAGAAGAAGAATCTTTCTTGGCACTGATAGCTTCTTCTTTAAAGCAGTTCTTCCCCGTTCATCAATTGAATGATCAAACTCGGAAGAAGGTTTTCGAACATCCTCTCTCAAATTTTCCGCACTCCGCGCTACTATTTTATCACTATCAGGAAACAGGTTTTTTTCTCTCTCTCTCTTTCTCTCTCTTTCTCTCTGTGTGTTTCTGATAACTTAAACAATAAAACAGGAACCCAGTTTTATACGCTGTAACGGCGGTTCAATTTACCGGCAGCTAGAGTTTGGTTTCACGTGGAAGATCAGGGAGACTATTGCTAGGTGCTAGAAGACCCAGAGCCTCAGACATGTTCTTTCGGGATTCTTTAGTCAGAACATTTGCCGTACCACTGACACCTTTGAAGATCGGCTTATTATTTTCGTAATTGTTACAAATGGATGACGTACTACCGTACTCATCGATGCATTGCAGCATCGACGAAGCAGGTAACACTGAGACGACGGGTCCCGGAAGTGGAGGCAGTGGCGGGCCGCTCTCTTCTATATAATTAATATGGATGTTCTCTATCACATTCTGACCATGCGGACTGGTTGACGACAACTCGGTTGGTGTGTAATACTCGCTGTTGACATCTTCGAGACTCGGACCTGGTGTCAAGTCGTCAATCTTTGCCTTAAAATAAGTATCCATACCGTTGAGGTCGTCTTTGCTTGGGTCGAACACCATAGACCCGCTCTTGCCGCACGAACCGCTTCGACAATTGTCGAAGTACAAGTTTGGTAGATTTTCCAGCACCTTTGCCAACGTCTGTTGTTGATACTTGTAACTCTCGCGCAATCGCAACACCTGGTGGGCGCTGAACTTGCGAATTTTATTTCGTTGGAAGACGTAATTCTCGCGCACCCAGTTGAGCTGGCTGGTGGAGTAGTCTCGCACTCGTTTTACCTGCGAAAACATGAAACGAAAAAAAAAAAATTAAATTAAATACGCAGCTAGATACGTATTCGTTGCGCGCACGCAAGTGTTATCTCGCAATTATCTCGTTATCATTGCAAGCAATAGTTAAGTAAGCTACACGTTACGTAATTATTGGGCTTTTGTTACGTCTTATTATACAAGGGAGAATATATAGGTTTTAATACTGAGATATATAAATCAAGACAAAACATTTAGCTTTGTTCGTTCAACATTTTGTTGCTTTGCGCGCAACTTCGCAAATCGTTCCGCAGAGATACGTAGATTAGATAGGAATGCCAAACGCGATAAGAAAAAGTATATAACTGGAGGAGAGTTCGTTTCTCTGCGCGAGAACTCTCTCACAGTATAATATTGTATACCTGATCGTAATACTGATCCCTCAGCGCGGTCAGGTGACTGGTACCGTAATCGCGAATGTCCCGTATGTGACGCATCTGGCCCTCATAGCTGTCGCGAATCCACTCTACTTGCTGCACGCAGTTGTCCTTGATTCTGTGCACTTGCTGCGTGTAATTTTCCCGCAGCCTCTCAAGCTGTTGGCTCTTGTACTGCTCGATGTTGTCGAGCATTTGGTAAATTTGCTTTGCCCGTGGCGTCACTCCCACGCGCCTGCAGCACAAGCACCATTTAATGCATCCGCACCTGCGAAAAAATTTGAAAGTGTTACTGAAAAAGTCATCGCAAAGTGCGATGCGGAAGAAATCAGTCAGGTTGAGTTATCGATCGCGCCTGACCTTCCCTGATAATATAGTTGTGTACGCTCTACTCTTTGAAATTGACAATTACCGTTAACTCGAACTATTAAGAACCCTATTGACTGACTGAAGATTGGACTGTATGTGACACAATCGTTAAAAAGTATATACGAAACTTTATATTATTATTATTATTCTTATTACTTCTCTACCGATACTTACTTTATTAACAAATATTGTAGCAACTGCAATGACAACGTCAGCAAAAGAAACGCCGCGGCACTGATCGCGCCAATAACGATGCTGAAGACCTTGATATTGTGTAAGGTTATCGGATCCATGTGAAGAGTCACGTAGACGGTCTCGTTTGCGATCGGATTGACCGCCGTGCATTTGTACTTGCCCACATCTTTCCGCAGTAACGTCGAGATGTAGAGGGAACCGTTCTCCAGGACGCGTATACGACCGTCGTCGACGATCGGCTCGGTCGACAGCCAGCGGTGTATGTGCGGATGTTCGACAAAAGCATCGGGAAAACCCGGATCCGGCATCCAATGGAGAACCAGACCGCTCGGAGTGACCCAGGTCAAGGATGGCGCAGGATTTCCACTAAATTCGCATTCCAGCAACACCGAGCTCAGAAGAAGATATTGCTGAGTGCTGGTAGCACGGATCAGAATTGGCGGACTGCATTTGAGATAGCGTAAGGTCTTCAGGGTGTCTACGGTACCACCGTTCACTTCGTGGCCGCATTTGAGCCCGCTTTGGAAGGTCGCTTGCAAATGCGCTCTGCTCTCCGCCCATTTAACAAACCAGAACATACGACAGTCGCAGGCCCACGGATTACCTTGCAGTTGCAACTCATTCAGAAGCGGCAGATTCGCCACGTTCGCTGGCAAAAAAACCAGATCGTTGTTCCGCAGGTCGATTCTACGCAGCGACGGTGTTTCGTTGAGCGTCGAATAACCGATCTCTCGCAACGGACTATCTCTGATCTCAAGAGTCTCCAATTCTGCTAAACTCGCTAGATTTCCGTTTCGGAGATTTTCTAGTTTGGTCCCTGATAACAAAAGGATCCTCAGTTTGCTGACAGGCCGCCAGATGTTTTCCGGCAGCGACGAGATCGGCAAACGATTCAAACTGAGCCATCGTAAATTGGCAAGACCTCGAAACGTGCTGTCCGTGAGACGCGTTATCGGATTGCCCTCGAGATCGAGATGCTCTAAGGCCGTGAGATCGTTGAAGAGGCCGCGTGGCAACGTGTCAATCTCATTGTCGGCAAGATCGAGCACCTTCAGTTGCGACAATCCAGAAAATAATCGCGACGGTAATTTCATTAATCTATTATTGGCCAACCAAAGTTCTTGCAATTCGTGATTCGGTCGGAAGCTGTGATCCGGCAACGAGACCAAAAGATTACTACTGAGATCGAGCCGCGTGAGCTCCTTAGCGGGCGCGAAAGCCTGGTAAGGCAGTACGGAGAGCAAGTTCGCCGCTAGACGGATCTCCTGGAGGCGATCCAGGCCGTGGAACAATAGCTGCGGTAGCGCGGACAGCCGATTCCTGGTGAGGTTCAGGTACTTAAGTTGATGCAACGGATGGAAGACGTCCGACGGCAACTCGGCCAACCGGTTATCACCTAAATCGAGGCGCTCGAGCAGCGTGTTGGCACGGAACACGCCGGGATCCACCCTCTTGATGCCGCTTGACGTCCAAACTAGATTTCGCAGTTTCTCGGATGTCTCGAGAGTGGCTACCAGAATTGCAGCCGCCTGAACATTCCTCAACGACACGCTCGCAACATCTCTTGGTAAGCCAAGACCGAGAAAGCTGCGGTCGACGCACACCAAGCTGCTGCCGTTGTTGTCCGCGCATTTGCAACCATCGGGACATTTTGTTCGCGACGTGACCGACGACAATAGTATCTCCGAAGGCGCACCCGCAACCCGCACCGCCGCTACTACCGCAACCAGAAAGACCAACCATTTCGAGTACGGACCACCACCTCCCCTCGCCACCCGCTCCCGCATTCCTAAGACCTGCAATGTGACGATTTGCACGAATACAGCGATCTCCCATGTCCTGACAGTAAAACCTCTTCGCGACAAATTCGTTTGACCGTTATCACCCACGCTTTTTCTTCGCCTCAATCGTATAGATTCTATCGACACAATAGACTATCGATCGAGCAAAAGACATGTTATTTATATACGTCTCGAAAACGGACTCTCTACTTTCTTTCTTTCTTTCTCTCTTTTTCTTTTTCTATAGAGTAACAAGCTTTATATACTTGAACAACTCGATCACATGTTCGCTGTCGTGTTCTCACTGCTCTTAAAAACTTTCTCTCTGTGCACCGAATTTTATTTATTTATTTATTTATTTATTTATTTATTTTTTGTTTTTTGTTTTTTGTTTTACTGCCTATCTATTTACCTACCTACCTACCTACCTACTGAGAATCACAATTGTAATTTCCCTGCAGGCTATCCCGAATATTTTGCTCCGGGAAGACAAAACGGGGGGAGGGAGGAACGGTAGTAACACAAAGAAAGAGAAAATTCGTCGAGGAGGCCCTCTCTAACCGTTCGCAAGGAATCCGACACGTTGTTGTTTCACGACGACAGGTGCGTTGAAGAAGAATTGTCTCCTGGTGCGGCGGTCAACGGCGGCGATGCTGACGGTGACGGCGGATGACGGCGCGTTGATAATGGTATTGGCAGCGTATCGTCGTCCGTCGATCCCGTCGCTGTGTCGCGCCGGTAGCATAATTGTACTCGCTGGTATTGTACAGTATATCGCCGATATATGTTACATGTCGTGGGGGTAGAAACACAACAATCACGCAATAGAGGCGGTACTACTCGCGGTATTAAATTTATATTCGGCACCTAACGCACACAAAATGCACACACGTAGAATATGCAGACGAAAACAATTTTATTTTCAATTTATTCTTCCTCTTATCCTTTCCTCTCTCTCTCTCTCTCTTTCTCTCTCTCCCCTCCTCTCGCTCTTTCTCTCTCTCTCCCTCCGTTTCTTTTATTCCTTTATCGACTGTATAATGACTGTTACTTTTCGTACAGCAACGCCGCGACGTACACCACTTTATCACGCGTGTCACATGACACGCTCGTGCATATCGCGCCTCAGCGAAACCACAGCTGCGTCTATCTGCCGCGCGTCAAAAGCAAAAACCGACTGTTGGACTGATGCTTCGGCCACGACTCCTACCGCGGACTTCTCCTCGTGGCGAGCACCGGTTCGAACGAACCGGCAACATCGCCGACTACCCCAGTCACCAGGCGCCGACGCAGACCTCAGTCTCGACAGCGGCTCGACGACAAGCTGCGTGAAAGAGAGAGAGAGAGAGAAAGGGAAGGGATACGGCTGAAGAGAAAGAGACAAACACAAGAAGTAGAGAAAGAGAAAGAAAGAGAGAGGAATAAAATGTGCTAAAGCGGGTTCTCGTCGAAAGACAGGGAAAGAATAAGCGGGGAGAAAAGAGAGGGTCATGTGGTGGAAGGCAGCTCCTCGGCCTCGGCAACAGTGCCGAATGTCTGGTGAGAGTTCTCGAGAGAGTTTTCAAAGACTCTGCTCAACACACCCGGTGTTGCATCGAATTTAATCAAATGCGCGTGTCATTGGCACGGCAAACAAATCTATCTTTGGCGCTCTTTTCGGGGGACCATTGCAAAAGCGACTTTTGTTTTTGGCCAACAGGGCTCTTCTTCGTCGTCTTCAAGATATCGCGATTAACGTGATTCAAAATAATTTCTCAAGTTCAGGGCCAAATTAGTTGCTAAATGTCAACGTTTAACAAAAAAAGATTGCGGAAATAGAGCTGAGAAGCAACCATGTTTTTTAGCGTTGAGTCAATTCCGCTCTTTTAACATTTGTTAAATTATTCAAAAAAAAAAACGTTACTTCGATATAAATGCACACTTATTACTTTGCTACTTTATTACCCGGTAAAAAATTTTCCATGTATAAAATTGTATGGACATATTTGGTATATAAATTTGCATAATTAGATATAATAAGTTTAATTTGTGTATAAATATATATGATTATATATCAAAAATTTTTTAAAAATATAGTAAAAATATAGTTTTATATACTTTTTTTGTATTTAACATGATACTAATAGTTATTGTGTAATTTGATATGGAATATCTCTGAAGCCATTCTCTTAAAAAAAAAGAGAAATTCTCCGTGTATAAAATTGTATGGACATATTCGGCATATAAATTTGCATAATTAGATATAATTATTATAAAGACTTAACGCTCGTGAAATTGTCAACAGGAATCAAATAAGGCCGATACGAGCCATTCGCAGGATGTTTGTGCGGAAACTATGCGTGTACATATATATACATATATATATATATATATACATGTAACAATTCAAAAAATACTTGTAAAAATTTACAAGTAGAATTTGTTACATGTATATATATATGTATATATATGTACACGCATAGTTTCCGCACAAACATCCTGCGAACGGCTCGTATCGGCCTTATTTGATTCCTGTTGATAATTATTATAAGTTGTGTATAAGTATATATGAAAAATTTTTTACCGGGTACTTACTATTTTAATTGCAAGAATTTAGAAAATCTGAAATTTTCGAAATCAAATCGGATCACTTGTTGTAGGATCGCGTGAATAAATTTTCTACAAATAGAAACTTGTGAATCACACAAATAGACCATTAAGAACTTTATTTAGAACCAGATTTTTGGAAACTGGAAATAAGACATTTTCTTCGCAAAAAAAAAATAGATGCCTCTTGGGTGCTATATCGGAACAAAGAATCATAAAACATAAATAAAAACCTTAGAAGAAACTAATATAATGAAAAACATCTGAAAGAATATGTGGAATTTAAGAAAGATTTCTCATTTTTCGTAGGATTATATAAGTAGTACATATGGAAGCTGCACACATTTTCCGCTTGAACACATTTGTGCGAATCAATTTGTTTATCGAAGTGCAGACAACACGAGTTGTTATCACCGTCACGTTCTACAATACAGAGATAAGCGCGAAAAAAATAAAGAAAAGTTCTCCAACTGCCGTTGTGTCAATAAACGAGAGGTGACTTCGAAGCTTGCGACTGAATGAGGCCTTAAATTTCTCACTATATATAGTGGAACCGATCGTGCAGCAAAAGAATTTCACGAGAGTGTCGGATAGAGAACGCTCCCACGCTTGCCGCGTTTGATCATATCTATTTTGCCACGGTGCCGCGATGTCTAGTTATCATGTGCGCCTTTCTAATGCGCTATTGTTTCCTCAATAAGTCAGTCATGCGCTTCACATAACAGCAAAACAGTTAGAGAAAATTTGATTTTCCACCTATTCAATTCGGCAAATTAGTATTATAAAAACAATATTGATATATATATTAACTATCAAAAATCTTACATAAATATGAAGATAAATTTTATATAGAAATAACATACACATATTTTTTTCAACAAAAAAGAAAATTAACAATTAAAACTGAGAAAAAAGAAAATTGTAAAAATATTATGTATATATAAAAATACGTTAATTACAAATAATGCTAATTAATACTAAGTATTAAAAATAAAATTCCCTTTTTTTGCAAATATATTTTTTTTTTACGAATCTGACGTTGTTAGAAATATAAACAATGTGCAACTTGAATACATTAATTAGTGTCTCGATATGTTTTGTTTATGCATGTAAATAAAAAAATGTAGAAATAAAGAAGTAAATATTTGTTCTAATCGCGGTACAAAGTGCGAAGTTTTATCGTGCTAATTTGCGTTATTGAATACTATATGGACGTTGAAACATGCGTCAGATCAACGACTTGTCGGAAGTACTCGCGGACGGTTGATATAAATAAAAAATGCGCGGTTTTGCTTTCTCTTTAACATCTTGCTGCTTTTTGAAGACACGAATTTTGCACTTGTGCGCTTTGTTTTTTTTTTTTTTTTTATATTGTTTATTGTTTGTATGTATTATATATATTATTTAAAAAATTTGTAAATTGTAATACAGAAGTAGTATCACGCGCGGTTTTCTTTGTAACGTTTATCGCAATTCTGTTCGGGTCTCGCCCGAATACAAAGAACTATTACATTGTGTGACGGGGAACAATATACACGACGAGACGGAAGAGGGTTGTTCCTTAGGTCTTCCATCTAAACTGCAATATCGATTCGTGACCTAACTTTGTTCTTTTTCACCGGCGGCACACGAACGATTTAGAGTTGAATCGGAAGCGTCTAAGCTTAGCCTTGAAGTAGCTCGCAATCGGCTTTTCGGAGAATCTCAGCGTCTCGAGATGATTTGCAAAAATCGAATCAATTAGATCGATTTTGGAACCGAGTCTTTGTATATGTAAAATTATATGTAAAATTCACATATTTAAATATTTTTGCCAAAATATATTTAAAACTTCTTTCAATGTATTTATTCAGATTTGTAGTAAACAAATCTGCCTTTTAAGGTATTACCCTCGATTGTTTTCTAATTTTCAGTTTTAAACTTTAAACTTTTACACAATGTTTAAAAACTTTGATCTATGAACCCCTGAATTTTTTCAGATTTTTTTACCGTACAGTTTTTTGAGAAAATCGAAAACGAATTGCGCACGATTTAACATGGAAGTGATAGGGAGAATGAGGAAATCACGTGCATTTACCTTAAATATCTAGAGTTCGAATTTTCAGATTTGGCTAAAAATATTACCACAGCTTCTTGAAACTATAAAGAAAATATGTGTGAAAAATCAGACGCCTGTACAGTTTTTCAGTAATAATTAAAATAACACCGAAAACGAGCGATTTTATGATTAGTATGAGAAAGAGCGACGTTGCCATTTCCTCAATTGGAGTGAGATAGAACTATCTCCGCTCCTCCGCGTCCGCAGGGACGTGAGGGTAATACCTTAAATTTCTGCTATGTGATGAAACGCAACGGAGTCTTTGCGAAGATGCACGTTTGTACAGTTAAGATGACGCTATTTCTCGGTTTTTTGCGACAATATTAAGAAATTTCGCAACGCGCAAAGCGTATTTGCAAATGATCCGTTTATGTGTAGAGTAATATACACGTACATACGTGCGTAGCTCGTTTTGAAACTACAGCAATTTTGTTAATTAAGCCCGACGCGATTAGCGCGCGCGAGGAACGCAATTTCGCGGCCGAATCAATGAGAACGAATGTTGTCGCGTTCTTGTTTACGGTCAACTTATTAAACCTTGCTTATTGCGCGAATCAAATCATTTGTCAATAAACTTCGAAGCCACTGTGAAATTCTGCGGTTCATCTTTTGTACGCCTCGTGAATAAAGTAGCGACGCAATAAGACTCGCCTAGACTTCTATCAACATCTTGCCGAGCGCGATGTGACTTGTATTATTTAAAAAAACTTGTTTAATATCACATTATTTAAAAAAAACTTTAATGTCACCGTTGTGCTTGTAACCAGCCAAATGTGCCAAGTCAACGTCATTACAAACTACAAGTGATACGACTTCTGTTCTTGAATTGTTTGTAGAACGTCACTGATGAAGATCAAAAAATTTGATCGAAACGTTTGATAAATATTAATATATTAGGTCTACCGGAAAGTTCTGTCCGTTTTTGGAATAAAACAAAATACAATTATTTTTCTTACCGTTAATAAACTTGATTAAATAGTATAATTGCCATTATTATTAATGATTTCTTGCCAGCGTGAGGGCAATTTGTATATCCCATTTTTGAAAAATTAAGAAAAATTCGTATTTTGTTTTATTCCAAAAACGGACAGAACTTTCCGGGGTAGACCTAATACAACAAAGAACATTACACTTACATCCTGTATAAGACTCGTGCCTGCCTTTTCTTTGAATTTCCAATTTTCGACGAGTTATATCAATATTAAAAAAAACTTAGAATTTTTTCGCAATATTTTCAAAATTAGTTAAGGGGATAGATGGGATCTCTCATATATGTGATGCAAATCCAGCATCCTATATGAATTTTAAGAATTGATATTCAATTCAAAAACTCGCGTGTAAAAATTTACACGCGACAAATATATATATATGCATATATATATATAATATATACGCAGTTTCCGCACAACATCCTGCGATCGGCTCGGATGACCGTATTATTTCTTAGTTTAGTAACTTATCGAGCTTCAATAAGATTTAATTGTTAAAAAAAACTTGTTTGCAAAGCATATTAATATAATCGATAATTTATACGTAATTAATAT